TATCACAATTTGTTTTATTACATCACTAACATCATACAACCAAATGTATCATATATGTTTAGTATAAATTCATTTCTTTTTTGGTAGGTGCCATGTATAGACATTGAATTGCCCATTAATATTTAGCCAAGGTTTCGATCAAAGTGTGCAGAAGGTCCCTAATTTCTGACCCTTCATAACTACATAAACACTCGTGGACATTGATGTACGTAATCTTATTTTTCAAATTCTATATATATATATGTATACTACATCTCTACATATTTTTCCCCAGTAGACAAAAAAATCCCCTTTTCAGATGCGACCTCAACGCATATCATTGATTAATCACGTTACACTCCGTCAGAACACTCGAAATACCAATCGAATCGGACGGGCCAGTGCTTAAATACAAATTGTTGAGCCGTCAGACAGATGGGCGCCAATTACCCACCACTGTGGTCCATTATGCACTACCAACAACCAGCCTCTTGGACCCAAGGGACGGAAGAAATATAATAACTTTCGAACACATACACTATCGGGTTACCGTGGTTTTATTTTATTTATATTTATTATTATTTTTTTTTCTTTTTAATCGTACCTACACAAGGCAGTTTGATATTACTTTAAAAGCTCAGTATGTTTTTTGGATTTTTTTCTGTAGAATGGGAGTTGTGGTTTTTTAAGAACGAACAAATCGGCTTTAAAACTACCCGTTCTCTCCATGAAAATCGGCTTAAAYCGAATTATAACATTACCAGTCGCGACGTTCGAACTCTTCCCTGAAACCGGGGTGCACGTAATACAAAAGTTTACCAATATAGATTTTATTTTTCTGTCTTTTATTCGCATACAAAACCCCGTGACTGACAATATTGCGGAACTTTTACGGAAATTCAAGCACCGTGAAAACAAGCTTTCGGAAATTGAAACTTAAATTTTTAACCACGCTGTGGATCTTTGAGCCCCTGGAGTAGAAAACTTTCAAAACAAAGAATTAAGCCTCGTTATTATTATTGCATACATATAGGGATGCCGGTAATGGAGGATAATCCAGACTCATTATTCATGGAAAAATTTTCATTTCCGGAATTAAATTACCGGGTTATGCGGTCGCGTCTGTATAGTGTATTTTTTAGAARCAAAAAGATTATGTTGAAGCATAGGTTGTTAAACCTTGATTTAATACCGCTATTTTAATGCAGTAAATTCACCATCGCCATATTATAAGGAAGCTTATAATAAATGCAATTAAAAAGAAATTTAAGATACCATTGATAATAATTAAGGGTACCTATATATAGACATATCATTATAAATAGCAAACAGGAAAAATAATAACAATATAGATAGGTACTTAAACTTTTAAAATAGGAGCTCGGGACAAAATGTAGAAGTATTTCACTAATTCGATTCAATACAAAATTACTGGCGTTTAATTCATAATTTTCAAATATTTCGATAATGAATAACATAATTTATAATTACAAAATATGTGTATAGGTTTAAGTTGCGGTTCAAAGCATAGACATAAATACAATCAATTTACATTTATTAAAATCTCCTAAATTTATTTTTCATAATCATTTAATTGTAGTTTATGTAGAGCGTTTATATTGTAGTTTACTTACATGGATGTGACGACGAAAACGGATAGTCGATTGATGGTATCCGTGTCGATGGTGTAGGGTGTAATGGGGGCGCTGGGCAATGATAGCAGAACATTCCGCCAGCTGCTCCTGCAAATTATGAAAACAATGCATTTTTTAATCGCCAGTTGCTAAATACTTGATATGTGTGTTATGTCACATACTATATTAATTCTTGACTCTTGTATTAAATACATATTGATCAAAGAGCCTAAATATAACTTGTACTTTTATATAAAACATATTAGCTTTTATAGAATCGATTATGATATTATGATCATTAAACTACGAAAATGATGAGAACACTTTAGACCCATTCATTGTCTCTGTCTTAAATATTTACTCAAATTAATATATTTGAAAAATCCAAGCACATCGAGCAGATACACTGATAAAGCTATAGTCTTTAGGTTTGGTAATAACAAGTAAAACTACTTTGATATCAAAAACGAAAAACTGCAGAAATTTGAAAATTCGGAATATACATTTCAAATTGTATACATGTAAGAAACTGTAGAGATAACGAGTTCGTGTGTCCTCTTAATCCAAATTCATTAAGACATAGATGGTTAGGTTAGGTTACGAAATTACGAATAAATTATGCCTTTTTAAAATGATTTAGTAAAAGTTAACATATAGAAAAAAAATCGGTTCTAAAATAACGTTTAAAACTATAGTGGCATACAAAATCGAACAGGGAATAGTGCACAAATATTTCTATAATTGATTTCAATCGTTACATAACTTACATAGGAGGCACATTGCACATAGCTATGTTAATATGTACTAATATGATATTTGTTTTTTATTTCATACCGTAACACACATTACTAATTGAAATAAATTGAATATCGGTTAACCACATCTACTACATAATACAGTACTAGCATAAGATATTATGTTATAACGACGATAAGTTTGTTTTGTTCTTGCGTTTAAAAACTTGCAACGAAAAATTGACGTTGTGCCAATTAAGTAGTTAAGTTTCTATATTTTGTTTTCAAAGATCATATCATGTGTAAATTACTTAAATTAATATTTTTATTTGACACAAATTGTTAATAAAGTTGTTTTCTGTATTATATTGTTTTATGGCTGTCAAATAACGCTATATAGTCATCTATATAACCAGTTTCTGTCGGCTGAAAAATATTATACAGTATATATATATATATATATAAAATATTTAGGTGAACCACTTTTTGAATGTTTGCTAATATGATTTTTGCGAACATTCATATTGTTAACACAACATTTGCAGCATGCGCGACCGTCATAATATACTTGCTAGTCGTCCTTCGTCGCTATATTAAATCAAATTCTAATAAAACTTGGACGTGCGTGTCGATTTGTTTTCCGTTTAATTAGGACGGATCCATTTAAATTAATTTAGCCAATTTATACGTTTGTTATCGTTTCCCTTATGCACTAATTAACCAACGTACAGGGCTAGTGTTAATTATTTGTAATATATGGGACCTAATAGAAACCCATCACCCGTATATTACAATTATTGTATACGAATACAATACGCCTTCCCCTCTAAACTCCGCTTTTACCCTCCCCGCGATCGCCACCAGCCCATAAGTTATAATACTTAAGCCGACCAGGGCCTAATTGAAATTAAAAGGGTACACACTATACATACCGTTCTCCCGTTGTTATTGCCCATTTAAATTAGTCCACACATAGCCTACACCGACTTCGTTAAATTAATTAAAAGACATCTATTTCGCAGATGTTGGGACGTGCAATTGCACAATCAACTGGTGCTTCCTACACGCGTATAACGCAGAACCGTACACACTTATACACTAATACTGAACCACACGCTTTTCGCATTGTGTCATACAGTCGTACCTATATCATGTACTTATACAAGGTGTTCCATACTTAAATGTCTACACTCATTCTTTTGAAAAATTTAAATTTTTTTGAAAATATTAATTTTGTATACGTAATTTTATTTCTTTTCAAAACAACATCTTTTACAATTTATTGGATCGTTATGGTTTTTTAAGTTTTTCTTTTTTGAATAACAACGTACATTTTTTATTTGATATCACTAAGTGTAATATTTTTTTGAGTATACTTACATATTATAATTTCGAACGATCATATTATTGCTACCTACCTACTTAGTAATAAATATAGACGAATCAATTTTAAATTAGTGAAATATAATATATAGGGCCAACATTTTACGGATACCATTGTGTCACTCTACTTCGCTCATCTAAACCTGAATATTTATAATTAATTAACCAATACAACAAAGTTGTCGAGAAACCCTAAGACCATTGACAGTAAACATTTATTCAGCTTATAAAATTCACACGTTTAAATTGTTTAATGTAGACTCTTCCAATTAATAAATTAATTGTTTAATTGATGAACATAATACCTATTTATCATTTGATGTGGGGTTCATTAGAATMGGAGTTTATAACCACTATTAAACAATTACGTAAGTAATACAATGATCTAAATATTATATGGTAATAAACACATTGTTTATAACTCAGTTATATAGATAGAGTTTTAAAGTTCTGTCTGAAAACAATTGCTAATGCGAACAAAAAGGGAAACATTGTTGGTACGAAATATTATATAGGTAAGTCGTTACTATATTAATATCTAAGACAGAACACGTTGATAGAATGCAATTTATCAATTAATTATTTCATGGGTCAGACCCACTAAGTGCCAACTCATTCTTATTTGAAATATGACATTAATATTATATGTTACAGCTGTATATTATTATATATAAATCACGTATATATTATATTTTTATATCTTAAATAAATTAACAAGAGAAAGTAATACAAACACTATTTTGGTTTATTTTTTTTTTTTAAACTGTAATATTAATTTCCTGTGACGAGATAAAAAATACCAAAAAATAATTTTGAAGCTAATAGTGAAATGTTAATTATAAATTCGTTATACGAGCGAGAAGATTTCAACATTTAATTTATTTGAAAAAAATAATATTTATTCAGTTGAATGTATTTAAAGTTTTGGATTGCGTTATCATAAATCACTCACAGTTTTTCGTTGAGATCTGAACGATGTACCTATGCGCCAGTTTATTAAACGATTAAAAAAATTTAATATTACCCAATACAATAATAAAAGAAGATTCATTTAATAAAATCTAAATATTATAATTTGTAACAAATACTACAAAGGTTAGATTGTGCGATTTTTTCAACGAGGTAAACGTCAATAAAACTAAATAACAACCTGTATTTAATAATGATATCGAACACGAATGAGAATAATTTTATTGACGAAATTATTGGAAAATTGTATTACGACGGTCCATGCAGAGTATGATGTTAACAAAAATCACATAGGTCATGGTGTAGCATGTCCGCTTTTTTCTCGCGTAATAAATCGAGCAAACGTCCCAATTTAGGGGTTGTGGAAAGAGGAGGGCGGATGAATGTTACCAAAACAGACGCATTATTTTTAACACGATCGTCCGCCGAGTCGACCTTGGGGCGGATGTGTACCGTAGAGCGGTATATAATGTAAATATTAAATAATATATTATATTGTTGGTAAGGGCGTGAGGGGTTTAGAGGATTAAACAATATTTTAGTAATTTTACACTGGAATTACGTTCAAATATGTAATATATTTCTATTGCACCATTAATAACCTTTAGGTTTGCTGAAAAAAAGTCCCAGAAAAAAAGTACAGAAATACTTCTTGTTAAGTTATGCATTGTATTTTAAATTTTAATATTGTTATTTGATAGGTTAGGACTTAGGATAGGGTCTAATATAAAATACTCGTTCATAGTTTATAATAGGCATGTCTATCTTGATTCTTTAATTAGTACACAACAATCCGTAAGTCATAATACAAGAAAAACATTTAATTATAGTTTTATGTACCTATTTATAATTGACCGTACTTATATATTACAGGGATTACTTTTTACAACGTACATAAGGATACGAATGTTTCTAATTTAATAAACTTCTTACTGTGTTTTAATGTTGAAATATTAATTTTACAATGGTTTATTAACTAATTGACTATTAATATGAATTATGAAATTCTAGTAATACGTACACTGTATTATTATATTATTTATTAATTGTTTATTTTTTTTTTCACCGGGACTCTTTTGTTCCTAGTTAATATATACAATATAGGCAGGTACAAGAGGGTGATATAACATTAAGTATAATATAACTATATAAGTATTTATAGTATAATAACGGTTTTGGCGTGTGGGTACCTAATAAATAATAATATACATCCGAGTATCTGACATGATGTTTGTCGCAGCGACTGTTATACCGAGAAGCTACCGAGTACGTGACAGTTGTGCACAAGTGGGCCCCGTCGCTCGTTAATGCTGTTCAGGTACACCTCGAGCTGTATGTGTATATTCGTATATAAAAGTTCGGATCGGATTCTATGGGTGAATTATTGTCGTCACCCGTCCACCCGTTGACTATTTTGCTGCAAGTCTATATATATTATACACATCATATTATATATATATATATTATATACTATACAGGTACCAGTAACAGTATATTATGTTTTATGTACAATAACGTTCGATTTTCAAACGGAGGTGCCGATTTATACTCGATTGTGATTTTAACACCTGATACCAACAAAAGTGCGTCATCTCGTTATACACGATATATATATATATATATATAAAGCATTGTAGCGTATGTTGTACAGTGTTGAAGTGTTGACGATTTGATAGAATGTCTTCTTTTATTTATCCGTGTACACCTACGTACGATATGGGTGACTGCCACAACGATTATATCAAAACGTTTTGTTTTGCGCGATGATTTCAACAGCTTCCACAGATTAATTTCGTACTCCGATCACGTTTTTTCTCTTCTTTTTGCAATCATTGATACGAAATAGCTACCTGCGTCTTAATATCATGAATCGATCCAGGTTTTGACGGAATTATATTATGTACACGCGTTGCTATTATTATAACAAGGTTATGGTACCAAATTTGATAAAGTACTCCACTGGCTTCTTCACTCTTTCATTTCCATGGCATTATTTTATTTTGCTAATAAATGCACCAAGTAAAATGGCTAAAACATTGCATTGTTGATTTGTTTGTATTCATTTAAATAAACGTAATTTTGGAATAATACGTTTCTTATGTCGATATTTACTAGGTAAGCGATAAAATTATTCGTTGCAATAAAATGATATCTATCACATTTCGTTGGATCTAACTTTAAGTGTAAAAGTCATGAAAATATTTTTTAAATTACCCCTAAATTATAGACCAAATTAAGTCTTAATTAAGTAAAGATTGAAATAAAGATTGATCTATTTTATAATATAACCATAGAAAATTAAAATTACCTAATTGATGTTTAGATATTAAGATAACATAATTTTTTTAGCAGTGATTGAGTATTTGGAAAATTAAATTTTTTCATTTAGAAGTAAACGTTAATTATACAATAAAAAATAAAGTAATTTTTTATTTTGGTCAACGAAAAGTAACTTAAATATATTTAAAACTAAATTTTTCAATAATTTAGACAAAGGTTAGGCCGTTAGGACTTATAGCACAAAATTAAAAGTTTAATTTACTAATCATAATACAGCATTTTTAAATTTTTGCAAAAGTTTACTAAAATATTTAATATTTGTAAAACGGCCTTTTCAGTGCACGTGACCAAGATCGAGTTTCAAATTATATTAAAATGTAACGAAATAAGTTTAAACCAAATTTCGGTAAGACGATATGAAATTACTTCAGGGTATTCATTGGATAATAAAGTTTTAATTACTAAATTACTAAATTATTTAATACCTATTAAAAGACATATTTATACTGTCATATAATATGAACGTTTTACGGATCTAGTAAAAAAGCCATTTTTAGTAGGTATCAAAGAATATTAACTAATTTAAAACGCTTTTAATGCATCTTAACGTTCGTCACTTAATTGAGCGTAATGTGTTAATTAAGCAAATGTCAATTTATATATTGTACTTAATGTCATTTAAACGCCAAGACTATTAAATAGTTGATGTCTATAGTTATAAAACGAATCTTCTAAGACAATTATATAATATAGCGTATAAATAAATTGACTTGATTATTACATACTTATTATTACAATAAAATAATGTTCTCTTAAATTTAATATATGAACACTGTAATAAATAGTATAATTATATACGTTAATACTATGATATGTATAATGTATATATATACACAAATATACAATGATGGACAATTAATAGATATGATGATTGATGATTTTTTTTTATTAATCTTTTAATTATATAGACTATATTCGAATTTCATTATTATTTTAATGACGCTAAACTACTTTAAGCAATAAAATAAAATTAACCTATTAAATTATTGTGTTATTCATTTCTAATTGAAAACAAAATTTCACGTAATTGAGTATAAATCATTTCATCTAATACTACGTGTTTGGATTACAAACGACGTAACCATTGAGGCTTAACATGAAAACACAGAAAATGTATTATAGTGAAAATGTGGTGGCTGTGCGTATATACATACTGTATAGTGTATAGTGCTTATATTATAACACGAACCAAATCTATATATTGCGATCGTCGTCGGCAAATCAGAAGTCAATCGAAAGGGATTTGCGTGATTTACTAAAGCGCTTCGCCGGATGAGGAATAACGCGCGGCAAAGCGTATAATATATACATAAACAAACGACTTACCCTTGCTCAGAAATGGTTTAATTTTTGATGGATCGTTTCCCCTCTGTGCCGTAGTGATGTTCGAGCGCGGGTGGTTACGGTGCGGGGGACGTCGTTGCCGGTGACGCGATGACGGCGGAAAGGACCTTAATCTTCAGGACGACGCGGACCGCGGTGGTCGTAACGAAGGGCTCGCCGGCTCCTTAAATACGTCCGGCGAAGAAGTCGACGACGACGGGACCGGAGGGACTCACGAGATCCGATGCGCGAACGGAAGAAAATATAATGATATTATTATTATACTTATAATAATAATATTGTGTCGGACGAGCTGATGAGCGGGCGACCGTGAGTGCGGTGTATGCAGTACGACGGAGCGACGTCGGCGATCCGGGATCCCGTTGTCGTTCGGACTGATAAGGAAACGTGTGTGGCACATCGCTCGGTCCTGCCGGCCGACGTCGAAAGGCCGCGCGTGCGTCCCGGTGGGCGTGGTGCGCGGCGGTCCCTTCGGCGAGATACCGGGCAGGCACCGCAGCACCCGCCCACGTCACCACCGCTGCCTTCCGCAGCCCGCCGCCCGCCGGCACGGACACCGACACCACCGCTTCACTGCACCAGTCGCCGCTCTTACGATTACGATGATAATTATCGTATTATTCATATTATTCATATTAATCATTATAGAAATATACGCCTGTGTAATAATATCGTCGCGGTCGTCGCGTTTCAATTATTATTACGATAAAATATTTTGTTATACCCTGCCAGACCGGAGCGATCGAGTCCGCGAGCAACGTAGGCATATTATATAGTATTAGGTATTAGGCAAAATACGCATATTATATTATTAATTTATTATTATATCAGCTCGTTTAAGTCGGCGAGACGCGTGAATACATTATGTCTAGTCCAATACTTGTTTTCGGGGACAGTTTTTTTAGAATATTGTTACCCTTTATCAGATCCAAATTAGTTATAACTTACATCCATATACTAAATATTATTGATAGTAGATTAYCCTCCTATATAGTATCAATATTGTTAAATGTTTTATTATTTTTTATTATTGACTCGCATACTAACATACCTAAGGTAATAACATACTTTCTTTATACCTTTTAAAATTAGACAATTTTAATTGGACAACCTATTAACCTCTTCCATAATATTTTAGATTCTGAGCGGAGCGAGGATGTATTGGTTTTACAATGATGATGTTTATTTCTTTTTTATTCTGTAAACAGTGTAAACACTTTTTCTCACTCTAGACTTGCTCAAAAGTGTCAAGTGTAGCATCTTTTCTGATTTCTGGAAGGTAATGTTCTTGAGCTGGTACTTTAGAGAAGTCATTTTTCGATTTTCGAAACGTTACTCCGCTTACTCGAAATAAAAGCGGTTAAAGCAGAAAAAAGTACAATTTCACGATTTTTTAATATTAAATAATTACGGACGATGCTTTTCTTTTTTGAAATTATGACAATATAATTAATATAGTACCTATAACATATCCTAGACTAATAAACCGTCTCTACTCAGAATTGTTTTTMGTATACAATGATATTACATCATTGAATTAAATTTTAATATCATCCATTACASTAACCCAATTATAACCTACTATACTGCAGAGCGACATCCACTTACTTACCCGCTTTTTTTAGTATCTGATCTGGTATAAAAATGTTAACTCAGATAATCAGATGTATATTTTGATAAGGTCACATTAAAATTAGATAAAGAAAATATTAAAAAGTTCAGTCAAACCTTATCRATAATAATCCTGAAAACACTGTACTATAATATATTGCCATATTCGTCAGACTTCCTTCGCGGTATACTATCTGCAGGACTTGACTGTATATAAATTATTATAAAACGATATTTCGGTTCTTATACCCTACCAGGTATAYYGCGACAGTGCGTCGGACTAATGTGTGCGAWATTATATAAAAGTATGCCTTGAACCTTTGTATTTTAAAAATCTACTTTATTTTAAAACGTATTTTTAAAATAGCATGATACCTTTGAATATTAAGAAATGTTTCAAAATATTGTTCGACATTGAATGAAAATATTGTGTGATATTACTATACTCTGAGAAGTCCAAGAGGTTGATATGCTAATTCTGATGCACTACCTCACGCGAGATCCCATACCATCAAGACCGGTTCCACTATGACAGAGTTGGTATGGTATGGCACGTTTGTCAAATTTCAAAAGTAAACTTAATTTTAAAATTATAAAATCTATGCTATTTATRAAAATTATAATATTCCTATGTCAAAATAGTAAAATGTATTATAGGTATTATAACTATAATTATTATATACTATTTGGTGTTTACGACTTAGGGCACGTGAACATTTTTCAAAACCTTGATTGAAAAATGTTGGAACTTGACCCCAAAAAGGTTCACCACCCCTGCACTATGGCATATTATCGCTTAGAGATGCGCAGACGAACAGATTTCTGTCGCGCTTTGAAGTGTTTTCTTGCTGGACAGAGTATGGCTGATAACACAAAGATTATGATATCAACGTATCACGTATGTGTTTCGTAATTCTATAAACTCCTAATAAGTAYTTATTTCTCGGGAAAGTATAGAAATTTACGGAACTGCCGACGGAACCTGTGAATAATATATGTGGCTGATGCGCTTCTTATCTTGACTTGTTGAACATGTAGTTGAGAGAATAATCCTCGGAAAYTGCACAAGTGACGCTTTACATCCGGGACTAGAAGTGACTTGTATAATATTGTATAATATGAACAAGAATACCGGAATTTCGTCGTATTATGCACATTATTGGCGACAGACACGCTCTAAAAACTATTTACTCGTGAATCGGACGAAGATGATGACCATTTTCCTATACCTAAGACAGAATTCGTAGTAGCGATCTTAATATGCTGCAAAAATCCTAAAATTCGTCTGATGGTGCATTTATCGTGACAATTACCTGCAATAGGTTTTACTTGGACATTAAAAACGTATATTTATGTATAGGAAGGTATTATACGCATGTATACTACACACCTTGACCTTATCCTTTTGTATAAATGCAATAATATGTTCCACTTCTAAACAACAGTCACCTTATAGATGCGTGCGACACTGCAGCGCATCTATTCCTACGAGGAACTTATGAATAGGTAATAATGTTCTATATTTTTATGTTGAGACAAACCTAACTTGACRCACCGCCTGCACAAGCGCGTAACCTTTGGAAAATGGAATGACATTTTCGAGTGGTGTTTAATTGCGAACCGATCGTCACTACTGGTCTATGAAATACATCTCAATAGTCTATTCCCGAAGAAGCGTCGTATCATCATGTCAGTGCTAAATCCAGTAAATCCTAGTGTAATATTATTTAAAGGTTACTATATTGCCTAGACATAGATGCAGTTTAGCACGCCTCTAACAGTCACGTAGCGCAGTATACTAAAACAAAATTCCACTTAACTAGACTTCGTGCTAATGCTTGACTAATAAACTTAAATCTAATTCATCAAAACCCACTACTTTACCATAAACACGCACCTATACATAATGATCATAAAATTTGATTTTGTCCAAGCTGCAACCATAGATATTATAATAATATAATATATAAACTCTTTAATTATAGATAGTCTATACATAGTATCCAGTGTAGGTAAATAATGAAGCATAAAGTAATTATGTGGTAAATTTTGTGTGTATTCGATAGAAATGAAAATTGGCAATTAATCGTGACTTTTCCGTAACCATGGCACACACAGTCACATAGATCTGAACACGTCTGTTGTTGTATTGTTTTATTTGTTTTGAATTTGATTGATAATTTCCAGTGGTATATTACTATAATAAATGTATATAAGAAGCTGTATTTTTACATAAAGCAATTAATATTTCGCTCGGGTAAACCGGTTTTGTTCAACCCGACATMCACTTAAATCATTAAAAATATGATATTATATATTATGTAAAAAGATAAACGTTTTACTGCTCGTGATAGTTCTCGGAGTTCGTAGATTGCCTTAAAAAGAACCTCGCTATATCCGATCTATCAACTATAATACTATATAATATACTAAGTATATATACATAATATCTCGTATTATATTATATTATAATATGTATTTAGGATGTAGTCCAACATTTTACCTATATTGCTTACAACAACATCGACTTTAAGAAAAATACGAATAAGACGTTATCGCATTCGTCGAGGTTTCATTTTTTTATTATTTTTAAACGCTGTCGTTCTGTACGCAAAATATGTATACAATGCATGTTGATGCTTTACTCAATATATATGTTAATATCATCGCTTCAGCAGTATCGTACATCCGTACAATAAAAAATATATTATATTTKAAAATTTATAATGAGTAATGACTACTCATTTTCGTCATCTGCTATCAAGTACTATAGTCGCGGCAACGAAAAATGAGCGCTGACCGTCATGCGCCAAGCGGCAGTTTATTAGTAGTGGTTATCACTTATCAATCTTTGAAACAAAAAGCCCGGTTTTTTTTAAAAAAGATCAAATAACTTATATAGGTATTATTTTATTTTTTAAATTATAAGATTTTTTTTTATTGGTTATCAATTTTTTCAAATACAATACAGTAGGTACAACGCGTAGCGGCACGACAGCTGCACTATGTTGAGAATCATTGGCTGTAAGAGTGGGTAAAAACAACGGGTCGCGGTACCAACGCTCATTTTTCGTTGCCACGACTATAGCTGCCTCCAAAGTTTAATGTTTTCGTAATGTCATCGCTAAAACCGATAATATACGATACTTGTTATACTTATGTGTTAAATTCGTATAACATTTATATCATATGTGTATGTATATTATATTTATATTATCTGCTCACTTCTGTACCAGATAAATAAAATAATTGATATAATAATACATACACTCAAATTTAGCACTTTAAACTTATCTATACAAAAATCTAATTTTTCCAATAAAAACGCTAATGCACTCGCACGCGCAATACGAAAGCAAAAAATAAGTTATGTTATTATCATTGTATTGTTCTCGGAGTATAAAAAATAATAATATAATAAGGGCATCTAAGTCTACATTATGAGTATTGGAGTTTGCATACTTGCATATTTTTGTAAAGGCTTGTGTGCGMTCACACTTCTCACGCCATTCTCCTCATTTGTACCCATACGGCAATACAACGAGCAACGAATAGTATTCGTAAAAAAATATATAAATCGAACACGGTGTATAATGTGCTCACGAATCAATAATAATTGTAGTCTGGGTGTATGCTATAATATATACTGCCGAACGTATTTAGCCGGGATCAATGATATTTATATAGGTGAAAATTGATGTGTTTACTCAGTTTGAAGCCGCCTGTATATTAGTTATTAATTAATTGTAAACATGT